ATAAAGTAGTAGTTAAGACGTTAGGTATTATATTGTTATAGTGCGAATTTGTCATGGGTTTACCTATAAGGCTACAAGGACATAGATATATAGTTCGTTCATTGAAATAAGCTCGAAAAGTTGTTTTTGCAAACTTCTTTGTTATTGATAACGTTTCCAAAACAGTTAATACTAACATTCGAATTATTGTTCAAAATTGTTAAAATACAATACATTTAAATTGTGAACTATGAAGTATAGTATATGTCTATGGAACATAAGAGTATAAAATGCTATAACAATACAAAAAATAAATGGCATCAAAATATTGTTAAAATATGATTTAAAATTATTTTTCTACTATGATTTATTATTGAAAATGGTTTCGAGACATTAAGTATGGCAAATAAATCAAACTGTGTACCGACATCATATATTAAACATTTCTTTAAATCGATACATTGTAAAATTGCAGAAGATTGTTTCGTTTCCCTTAGTACTTATAGTATAAGTGTATTCTGTCAAAATAACCTCTCAAAAGGTATCCTTCATTTTTACAAGTAGAATCTTTTCAATGTGTAGTGGTCTTTATAACGAGCTCGTCTAAACAATAAACATATGTGGCTCTAATACCGTGCTCTTCAATTCGAGCACTGTGCAGTGTCGTTACCGATTTCTGGGTCAGTAAACTTTAGGATTGGATTTATCAATTTAAGCGAAGAAAAAAAACTGTTCACCTTGTTGTTGAAATTCTAGTGAAGATCATTATTATGGAGTATTGAATAATAAATGCATAAAAAACCTATTGAAAGTTTGGTTAGTTTGGTTATAATTTATAAAATACCTTCATATTTGTTCACTTTTTCTTTGCATAATATTTTACATTTTGTAAATTCATAATGTAATTTCGGGTTCTAAAATTATAGGCTAATATAATTAGTAATAGTAATCGATAGAAACATATTTTGTGTAATAGTTATTCACACTGGTAGTGGAATAAGAAGGAAATAGTATTGTCTTCAATTTGGGCCATTACTATTGGGCTGTTAGAATGTATTTTGAATGTGTTATCATTGATCACTCATGAATCATGATTATGAATAATAAATAATAAAAAAACGATTTGATAAGATTATTATTTAATATATTAGCAACTGATACATTATTACCTAATAGCTAAATAATTTAGGCGCTAATTAATAACTAAGGTAAGTATAACTACCATAATTACTAAACAACATGTTATAAAAGTGTCTGCTTAGTGCTTTCTATCAATATTTAATAGTTTGAATGAAATAGGTATGTAAATGTTTAATCTTAAATTACTATTAGTTAATATCATGACAACAAAAAATTGATAATTATAGTTTCTTTAATTTTAAAAGAATCACGAGAGTGAATACATAATTGGATACTTAGATGTATATTAGTAGTACCTATGCAGTATGCATTTTGAACAGTAATAAACTTTACAAATTATAGTCATATATTCATCTTAAGGAAATAGGAAGTAAATAAAATATTGACCTAACGAAAAAAAACATATTATTTTTCTTTTATTTTATTTTATTTCAAAGTTTTCCTTAGTTAAACATTTAAACTTAGTGGCAGTGCAAATGAGAAATACATGTTTTAACATTATTTATAATGAAAAGCAATTACTTCTTTTTTTTATTCAAGCAAATAAGAATAATTGAATTAATAATAATTAATGGATAGGTATTACTACTGTATACATTACAAAAACACAGGTCAACAATTGATTTAAAAATATTAATAGTAGGTAAGTTGCAACCGAGCTGTGGGTTTCATAAAATCGTTCAAAGTGGAAATTAGGTGTTATTATTTCGTGTGCAGATACGAAAATGGTGTTGATCAGTCTAAAAGTTCTCCGAGGCTTGTGTACTTGACGGGTATAACTTATTCAAACCACACCCGAACTTTTGTTGTTATATAAATTACCAAACCATCTTATTGTTATTATTTATTGCCCATATTTATTAGTCTACTATACTTATTACAGCTCGGTCTAGCTGTCAACTGTATGTTGAGGACAATACCTATATCAATTATATATGCGTCGACAATGGCGTAATAAATGAAAATAATAGAATTATAGCTATCTAGATACCCAAGTGACGAACGATACGTGACGGGAACGTGGGTATGCCAACGCATCATGACTTAATAAATAAATTACAACAATTCGAAAAAAAAACAATTTATAGTTTCGAGATTTTCATACAACAATTTCGGCGAATAGTAGGCTTGCTATCTAATACGCGCCACGGAGTTCATCAATTATATTGTCAACCTTAAGATTTATATTATTTGGTGAATAGACAATATTGCTCAAAATTATTCTAAATTTTAAAAACTAATAACATAGGTATGAAAATGTTAGTATAAACATTTGGTGAATATTTCAATTATCTGCGGTAGGTATTCGTTCTTGAATTACACCAAAATAATCAAAATGAAAAATCGTAATAAAACTTATGAGAAATCTCCTATTAAATTCACAAATGTAAAATATGAGACGAATAATATTTATGAAATTATAATTGAAAACTAATTTGGGAACTGTGTTTGGCGTAACTCAAAAACGAATTACCTACTTACGAGTAAATACTAGATACCTACTTTAAAGCTTAGAGTTTTGCCAAATGTTTCATATAAGAATTTCCAGATTTCCTATATGCATGATAAAATAATATAAAATAAAATATTTTGACTCATTTTGAGTTATATAGAGACATGATTTGATATTTTAGATTTTTTTTAGTACCTACTTCTATTTTAAAATTACAAAATTTAAAAAAAAAAATTTAGTTAGAAACTTATAAAATATTTAATTTAAAAAAAAACTCTTAAATACTTCAAAATTGCATTTTAGATTCTGAGTAGAGTAATAAATGTATTGATTTTACAATGATATGAGTTTTTTTCTTATTTTTTTTTTATTATTTGTGTCTGTGTGGGCAAATACACGATAAGTAGTCGAAATAATGCTTCGATATTTAACTTCAGTATTTTTTCCGGTGGGAAAATGAATCTAGTTGGTGCATTCAGGAAGTCAATATTTAAAATTTCTATAAGTTTTCAAAAGTTCTGGGAAAAACAAACATTAAGAAAAAGCTGAGATTTGTACACAAAATTGGTTTTTGACAAAATCAATCCTAGCTTCATACCATTCAAAATTCTGAGCAAAAAAATTATGGACAAGTATTTTTGAACAAAAATGCTTTCACATGAAAAAAATAAAAAGTAAACATCGTTTTAAAAACACCATCTTCTTCATTCTACTCAAAATCTAAAATCTACAACTTCCCTGATTATTATATACATATTTAGTTAGTATTAATTAGTTTATTTATGAGTTTGTTTTACTTTAATACTCTATCTAATCTACAGTTAAGTTTAATTTAGGATTAATTTTGATACTTCAAATAGAAACAAATATGTATTTAAAAAATAAATACTGATTCAAAACTATTTTGTTTTTTAAATAATTATTTTTACCAACCCATTATTTAACAAAAGAGCTACTTACCATTCACACCAATAATTCAATTTTAAATATTTTACATGAAAAAACTGCACATGGGTGAAGCCGAGTAATATAGCTAGTAATAATATAAATATAATATAAAGTATCCTAGGCTGACAAACCATATCTGCTGAGATTCGTTTTTCTTGAGTACGTTTTTCTCGATACTTGAAATTTGCAGTACGTGTTTATTTTTATATTTTATATCATATTCTATACTTGATAAAATGTTCAACATATTTCGATTAGTTTTGAGATGTTTACGGTATTTCCAATTTTCAATTTTTTTTTGTTTGTTTTTATTTAAATGTCAATAAAATGGTATTCATTGGGTGGAGAAGCTTGAAAAATGCTCCTCACACATTGTTACAATATCAGTTTAAAAATATTAAAAATTAATACTCATGATTTTTTTTTATAGGCATTTAAAGTTTAAAATTTCTAAAACTGCAAATTTACTAATTATTTTTCAGTTATAAATTTATAAAATGTTCAGTTTTTATAGCTAAGGATTGAAAATTTATAACAAGATCTCTATAATAAGCAGTACAATCTGCAACCAAAAAATCTAAGAAATAGATAAACACGGCAGTATTATTTTATGGTTATTTTAAGTTCAAATTATGAAATTACGTATTATAACCAAGAATCACGATTATAGTTATTTTGTTTTTATTTAAAAATATTTTTGTGGGTACTTGAAACTTGGTACTTAAGCACTTTTAACTTTATTATTATTTATTATATTTTATACACACAATGACTTTTGCACAATTTTCTTTGCAAAAATGAATTGAACATACTTACTAGCTCTTATAAAATTGAGCACACTTATACTTGTATTTTAAAGTAATAGTTTGTTTATGAAATAATTATTGAAACTGTGGTGTAAGCATATTAAACCATGGTTACTACTTACTTATAGATTGAGAATTCCGAATAGTCCGTTAAACTATACAACATATAGTATTTATAATATGCTTATATGAAATATTTAATTTAATATAATTAACTTATAAGTATTAGTTAAGTAGGTAGGTATTGTGATATTATTACTTGAGAACTTTCGTTGAAATAACAATTTAAAAAAAATTAAAAGTCAGTTTGGAAACCACACTAAAAAATATATTTAATAACTGAACTAGGTGCCAGTAAATATACATAAGTAATGAAGAAATTGCAATTTTTAAAAAAGTTTTTGCAACTTGGCACACATTTTAAGAAAATAAGTACTTACCTATATTATTCATACGTTAAATAATTGAGTAGGTAATAGGTATATAGTATATACACAGGCTTTAATATTTCTATTTTCTTACATATTTTATATTTATACTATGTTTTGATACAGCTGACAACAAATGATATGTGTTTCAATATTAGAACATTTTTATTTTATTAGTTATTACTCAAAACCTAAAACTGCTTATAGTTAGTATCATTTATAGGCACAACCCCACTAGAAGAAAAATTAAAATTTATAAACTTTGTTTTTAGTGTTCTCATTAGTTTTTTGTTGTTTGTTCTTAATATGCAGTTCTCTTCTTAAAGCCGTAGCATTCATTCTGACACCTTCTCTGTGGGTTTTCAGTACAGATGGCCGCTGAGAAGTTTTCAACTCCACTTTAACGTCGTTTGTCAAATTAAGCATAAGATTGTCGATTGAGCTGTAAATTTCGATATCAGGTAAATTAGGAAGCAATTAATTTTTTTTTTTAATTAACTATTTTATAGTCAACTGTTAAGGACTAGTTTAATATACCTAATGTAAATGCGTGTGCAAAAAAATCATATCAATTTTATTAAACTCCTCTCTGTAAAAAAAATCCTCATTCATTGTATTTCTATTTTATGTACGATTTGAATTGATATATATATATTTAATATATATTTTTATTGATAATATGTACCGAAGTGCAGGGTCACGTACAGTTTACTATAAACATACAAATGATAAATCATATTTTTCTCGAACCTTATGATCATATCCTTTGTCTCTACATCATTCGATATGTTTTTCTCTTTGTTATCTGTATCTAAAGGTTTTATTAGGTTCAGAACTGATTCAAAGTTCTCTGATCCCAACTCCACTTCTTCTCGCTGATCCTCCAGATCATGCGATTTTGTAGATATTATATCTTTGTTTTTAATATGCATTTCTCTTCTTAAAGCAGTAGCATTCATTCGAACTCCTTCTCTGTGGGTTTTCTGTACCTCTGGCCGTTGAGAAGTTTTCAAATCCACTTGATCGTCATTCGTCAAATCGAGTATTAGACTGTCGATGGAGCTAAATTTGTTAATAATATGAATAATAATAATAATAATATCAGGTACGCACTCGTAAAATATAAAACATTAATTATTATTTTTTAGCCTAAAAGTCAGGTGCGAGTAAAAACATGTTTATTTCATAAGACTACTCTTAAAAGAAAACCCAACCAATTGTATCATCAACATTTTATGTCTGATTTTAATTGAATACATTTTTACTGATTGAATTTAGATATAGATACATGGTTAAATTTACTATAAATCTAATAAAATGATGATAAAACGTAATTTTTTACGAACTTTATAACCATATCCTTTGTCAGTTTCGCATCATTCAGTATGTTTATCTCTGTGTTAGTTGTGTAAACAGATTTTGTTTGGTTCAAAATGTGTTCAACATCTTTACGTTGATCTTCTAGATCAAGTGATTTTGTAGGCTTTATATGTTTTTTGGGCCGACGTTCGTGTTTTAGTATCGGGTTAGCTACTGGAGCGGTAGTAACTACCGAAATAATTACAGTTTCTTTTTTGGCCACATCACTTTTTATGTTGCTACTACTAGGTTCCTGTTCTTTTTTGACCACATCACTTTTAATGTTGTTACTTTTAGGTTCCTGTTCTTTTTCGACCACATCACTTTTAAAGTTGCTACTATTAGGTTCCTGTTCTTTTTTTACCACATCACTTTTAATGTCGCTATTATCAGGTTTTAATTCTTTTGTTGTTACTTCATCACTTTTAATGTTGCTATTTTTAGGTTCCTGTTGTTTTTCAATTGCTTGCTTTGATGTACCGGATTTGACCATGTTATCCGGTATGTCCGTTTGTCCTGGTAATGCTAATGCAATGCTGTCCTTTCTTTCCATCGACTGACTTTCCTTTTTGTCTACTGAATGCTGCGTCACGCGTAGCACTTTGTTCCCTCCCGATAATTGGGCCAATCGACAATTTGATAGAACACATTTATCATCGGGCCCTCTTAGAGATCGCATACGAGATAACTATTAAAAATCGGTACAGATATAAATATTTTAAACATATTAGTTGCATTGTTTTTGAATGAATTCAGTGTTTAATTGTAACTTAGGTATTATTTTTTTTATTGAAAAAACCAAATTGTTTGTTCTAACATTTGATAACAGTATTTCATACAATAGGTACCATATTTATATTTTTACGATCGTTCCAAATCGTGATTAATGTAATAACTAATAACGTTGTGAATAATAACACAACTGTATGAATTAAATTTATAATAATATATTTTAGACAAATTTTACATATATTTAAAAATAATTGCAATACAATTATAATATATGTACCTATTATATACCTAATTATAGTTTTAAGTAACGTTATGCATTATGCATTGTTGGATTTGAATAATCTTGATATTTTTATGCTCGTGATAACTGATAACTAAATTTTAGTTGGTTTATTATCAAATTCAAAATAGCTTTTATTATGAACAGACGAACCAGTGATCGATTGATTGAAATTTCTTTCGAAGAAATAATCCATAATACTGTATTTTCGCGAATCACTTCACACGCACTCCAATACATGAGATAATTTTGTAAGTCATTATCGAACAAACTTGATAATGCAAACGAATCAATTTCGATTAATTCTCCTGGTTTATTAATTTTTTTCAAATTTAACGTCATATTTTCTAACGTAACATTTTCACGGCGATCCAACTTAAAATTTAATTTTGTCAATGACACCAAATGTATTTTATAATTATATTTACCAATATATTCATACTTTACACATGTACGCCAATATTAGTTTGCCATCTTCGGCGTTGAAGGCTTCGCACGTATCTGAGTAGCTTATATTATAAAATACTAAGTGTATTTCCATGGGGGAACTGTTAATATCAAATTTCATAAACAGAAGCAAATGAATAACCATTCAATTGTATTATTGCGTTACCATTTTCCCATAGTACGATGTTCACTGCCATTTTTAAGTTTAGTGCCCCAATGAAAATGAAAACTTGAAAATTCGTATGGGCACTGCAATATAGAACCATTCAACGAAGGTCTTGGTCCGGAATATTCAGCATCGACATTAACTTTGAATTTAAAATAAAATAAGTAAGTAGGTTTATTATTATTTATTCAATTTAGAGAAATATACCACTATTACAAGTTTGTGTAATTAATATACTATTACCTATATACGATATTAATATACGATTTTCTGTTAATACTAAAATTCACATAAAATCTGATTACGATTAAATTGTTACTAATTATTGTTACCGTTATTAGTATTATTGGTGAAATTGTATTAGTACATGTCATTCCTATATTTCTAACAGACATTTTTAAAGGTATTGTCTCTGATTCCAACCAAATAAGTGGTGGAAGAATAATTGACGTTACATTATCCAAATTTATGTCCAACGGAGAAGAACCGTGTACCCAAGCATCCATAAATCTTGGGACTCTCGGTTCAATGGTCGTGGAAGGCAGTAACGCGTTATAGTCAGCTTTATCTAGATGCAAGCAGTTTGAAAATTATAACTAATTCTGAAAAATGACATATCATAGTGGTGTAATAGGCACTTGTATTTTTTTTGTTGCTGACCATCTTTAGTTTTTATGTTCAGAATACTTACAGATTTAAATAAGGTTACACAATTATAAGTTGTAATAATGTTTGTTAGTCCCTGTTATCATACTGTTTATGAAACAAATTGTTTAAATTGAATAGTAATCTGTAAACAAAAATGTTGTCACGGTGATATATATAATATATATATAGTATATATAATTTTTAAAAAAATGTTCATATCTTAAAGTAGATCAAAAAAGTCAATATATTTTGAAAATTCTATCTTTTAAAGAACATGGTCATATTATATCAACAATTTGTTAAAATTTAAAATTGCTACGGTTATTCATTTTTGAGTTACAACGGAAAAAATAATCGATTTTGTTTACAACTGGTTTTACGTAAAAATTACCTTTTTTTAAGTCTTTTTTGTTTTTCACGCCGGTTTTAAAAACAACAGGGAATTTCTTACATTTGAGTCTTGACCCAACAAAGTAACAACTTGATCAAAATGTAACTTCCAAACCACGGATGTAGGCGATATGGCTTAACAAATCTATAGTTGTAAACAATAGGTACCCTGTCTATTGTAAGTATTATGACGTATACGTTTCACTCTACAAACCGTAGACTAGTGTTGCCATAATAGATAGAAATATAAGTCATAAGAGTACAGAATATTATATACAATGTATTTGTATTTCACACAGCACCCTTTTTTTATTAAGTACCTACTATTGGTTATTTATTGTTGGCTATTAATCAAATAGTTGAGTTATATTTCTTATATTTGTATAATTACACAATATATTTTTATGCTTAGGATTACGATTACCCTAAAATGTTATAGGGGTGTACCCATCCCTTAAAATAGGGGTTCAACCTCGGTGCCACAGTGCATAAGACATAAGTATTACACTATTCAAGTATTTGGTGAGTCATTATGGTCATAACTCACATGTTGTAAACCATTTTAATTACATTTTATTTAGATAAATCTATTTTAGAATGTATGACATATAAAATAACGCTTTACTCCAGAGAAATTACTACAACGTTACTGAAAAAGTAACAACGTTACAGTAATGGTTTGTAATTAACGTTACCTATACTACCCAACTGCTTTTCGCCCGTTTTAATATGACGTACAAATTTAATTATTTATCAATTATTGTAAGTGCCTCATAAATAATAATATGATCGTAATGAGCGTTATTTGGGTAAAAAAAAGTTGCAGATAACGGTTTGTTTTTTACTCAGTTGATATTATGATGTTGTAACATTGTAGAAACATTGAAGACGAGTTGTGACACCGACTGATCAGAACTCATGTAACCGGGGCGTATGCTGTGTTCGTGACGGCCGTCGTGACGCACGAATAAAGCTACTACCGCCGTCGCAACAGCGAAAACCGACGCCGCCGTCAAAACTTTAGAACAGTAGCATCTAGCCTCTAGCCCGTGCGACCCTGGTACGCGGACTCCTTAAAATGTAACTAGTTGTTTTTAGGGATATTTCATTTCATTTTATACGATATATGTAGTATATATTATGTATATTAAATTTTGTGTAAATACCATGTGTATTACATACTTATTATTAATATGAAATGAAGAAATTAAAAATAATAAAATAAAAAGTCATATTCAATGGAAAATGAGTACCTACTGACGTAAAAAACAACAATCGTATTTATAATTTTTAATTTTAGTTTGTTTTTATACTTATTTTACACTATTGTAGACTGTAGTATTGTGTAATATAATATTATAAACAACGTGTAGGATACGATATCATACATTTGTATTTTACTAATACTCACATCCACTACGTATATCAAAGCATTTATTTTCCCGATCAAAGCAATTTAATTAACGCATTGAACTTGGCAGTCCCTGTAATGCCGATTTTTTTAACATTTTGTTGCAATGCATTAGTGCATTACAATATGACGTTCAGATGTTCTATATATATCCTATTTGGTATTAAACGCTTTTGTTATAAATGATGGATCCAAATAAACAATAATAGGTGACACATATTTTTTTTGTTTGGAAGGAATTTATAATGTACTTAATTAGCTTGATGCTGATGCAATTATTTTACATACATTGTACAATTGTTGACAAATATTTGGCCAAAGTTGGTATAAAATAGTTGGCAATTGCTTGAAATGAATCTAAATATTTTTTTAATATCATTACACATAGTAAAATATGATAATTAAGTATACATAGGTCTTCTCACAAATAATATTTTGGGTACGCCAAAATAACTAAAATTATTAGGTATTCTTCGTTTGGAAATTCATTTCTTCAAAATTTGAACTTCAAATGTGCAAGTAGATTGTAGGTACCTATACTGCCAACATGCTGACCCATGACATGTACAACATTTTGTATAACTGGCAATATTTTTTAGGTTGTACATAGGTGCGACATAGAAGTACAATTTACGTAATATTTCACATTTAATTTACTTGAAAATTGGAATTTGGTAGGATAGTTGAATGTTGGATTATGATGGACCTTGTTCAGTATCGGCGCATTTGGACTTTTGATATCATGATTTCACATACTTTAAAATACTGATCTGTTATCTTTGTCTAGAATTAATTTTCGGTCGTGTATACCTATAATTCATGACAAAAAATTCTCAGCTGCTACTTTTATTTTTGTGATCGAAATGTAAATAGAAAATATATAAACCACTGGTATAAAGAATAAGTAATTGGATTTTAATTACAGATAGGTACTTAAGTATATTGAGAAAGTATTTAAAATACTTTGTTCGAGTAATTTTTCAAAAATATTTAAAAGTATTTGAGTAAGTGCTATTATAGAATATTTGAATACTTTAACTCAAGTAAATACTTCACAAAACTGTTTTTTTTGTAATAAACAAAGTGTAAAGTCGAAAACTTTATTTGAGGGTCTATAAGTCCACCAGTGAAAATCTATGTCTAATTGGAGAATCCACTTGTGGTTTATTGGATTGGATAAGTAGGTACGGCGCTAATCGCTATAGCAGTGATCTTAAACTCAAATTATCAATGGACCATATGCCCATACATATTTACGTCAAAGGTTCGAGGGAAAAACACCTTTTTTGTAATCATTTTAATACTAAATCTAAAACAAACAAAATTAATTGAGACAAAATGTAGTACTCTTTGGTACACTCTGTTTACATATCAAACATATAAGCACAGAATTACAACTAGAAAAAAAAATATGTATAGTATAGCCCCATTGTTCTTGAAAAATACGTCCTTCTTGACCCATTTTACGTTTAAGTGTTTAACACCTGACAATTCAATGAACGAGTAGAGCACACAAACGACACTCACGAACCGAGTGCAACAGACACCTGTACCTACACAATTTGTCTATTACCTACTTATATACGGGTAATATTGTCAATATATTTATCTTTATACTTAATAAATAATTTTTATAACGTTGAGAGACGAGAGTATCTTGATCGAATTAAAATCCTATCACGAATGTGAATGTCAAATATGAAATATTTTACAAAAACAAAATAGCGTTATTCCGGGTCACATAGAATCCGGTTTGAGGGCCACATGTGATTAGACTCAGCGTGTTTGAGACCACTGCGCTATAGCGTGATTAGGCGCAAGTGCAACTCGTATGCAAGTTAGTCGCCTGCTGCAGTACAGTCGCAGTGCAATAGCCAGTTGGAAGTAGTATTAAACATACTGTATTATTATGAAAGGTTATACCTTTAAGACACTTACACTTAAATAAATTACACCCTCTATCATCGCTCTCCGTTAAAATGCCCTCTCCTGTGCACGCTAGGCACTGAAATACTGACGTTAAACATTAATTAGGTATATTTTTTTCTGTTTGAACCGACACTGATTACTTATTTACTTCCGCGACGCTGCTACGCATCTACACAGTACACACATTGATTTTAACTAGATATTAAAGACGAATTTTATTTATTCATAGAGCAACAATTTGGTCATCTCGTATCTACATATTATTTTATTTAAATCTTGTAATAAATCATTTGTCGTATGCCAACGACCATACCACGTTGAATACACCAGTTCTCGTCCGATCACTGAAGTTAAGCAACGTCGGGCGTAGTTAGTACTTGGATGGGTGACCGCTTGGGAACACTACGTGCCGTTGGCTTTTTTTTATTATTACATTTTTAGTATTTTTTTGTAATTTCCATAAATGCAAACGTTTTGTGAATTTGTGATATTGTTTAATTTACCTTGTGATAAATGATTTTCCTCTAGCCACTGAAGTAAATTCGGTTAATCTGTTTTAAATATTTATTTTTAACTATTTAACTTAATTCTTATATTTTATTTTTTCTACATTAAGGTTCGAACACCCTGGTTTTAGGTTATGTGCTTATGTCAACATTGTCAATTACGTATTTTATTCATGATTTTCATGCTCAATTTTTTATCGATATGTTCATATGGATAGGCAATCAAATAATTTCAAAAATATAACTTTGAATCTTATGTTGAACTATACGAGTTGTGAAAGTCTACTATAATTTTACGTAAAAATTATATTATAATTTGATAAATTAATATGAACTCTTTTAATGAGTTTTATTGATAGGTAAGAAACTAAGAACGAAGAACTATAGTTTATACTCAGAGTACCTATACTCTATATCATATATGTGACGTGCGTGAAGTTGGCCCCCCCACCATGACCGATTTTTTTGAAAATTATGTACTCATTTTGCAAATAATTTGCAAA